TTTAAGGATTTCAAAATAGGAAAATTATTGATATGATGGATTTTTTATTTGAATTAATTAACCATTTACTAGTATAATAAAATGAACTATAAAACCCATAACGGAAGGAATTTGAAATAGAAAAATTAAGGACTTTAATGTTTTATAATGAGGAATGAATGGAGAAAAAATATATTTTAGATAATTATGGAAAGAAATTATGAAGTTGCATGGAAAAAATATATTTGAGAAAGGGTCATAAGAAAATTATTTATATAGTTGATTTAAATATTTGAGTAATAGAGTTCCATATATATAACTTGATTTGTTGTGTTTAAGTTAATAAAGGTTCTAATAGTTAAATTTATGAATACTATTAAGTGATGATTTATGTTAATTATATGTTACATGTATTTTGTTTTTTAAAGATCTCAAAGTTCTTTTAGATTGTCACCGAGCTAATTAGATTTTCATGATGAAGGAATTCTTGTATTTTCATATAATTATCTTAAAAACAATTTATATATATATATGTGTGTAATTTAGTCTGTGTTATATTTAGAAATAGGTGGAAATGAATCTTCTATCATTGTTATAATTAATGTAATTTTTGGATGGTGAGTTAAGATTACTTTTTTTCTTTTTATTATTATTATTTAAAAAAATTACTTGAATTTTATATATATGGACTTAAGTATAAATGCATGAGAAAGTGTAAAGTGTTATATAGTCAAACTCAACCAAATCAATATCAAGAATATTTTTTTAATGAAATAATATTATTTTAATAAAAATAATTAATACAAATCAATTCAATGACCCACCGGCTAATTTGATTACCTAATAATCTATAACTTTTTTCAAGTAAGTTTATAAGTTCTTCCACCTATGATTTCACTATCTATTGTAGCTAATCTTATCAAATTTATTTAACAAATACTATTTGCAATTTTTTTTTATTAAAAAAATAAAAATAAAAACAAAAACTATGGACTAATATCCACAAGAAAAATAATCATATATATTAATATAATAGTGCATTGATAGTTTTATAAAAAATCCAGGTAACTTAAAAATAAAACATATGTATTGGATAATTAATTAATATTTTAATTTTAATAATTTGATTCATTTTCTTTACTTTAAATGATCGATGCTTAACACTTGTAAAATGTTTCATTTGGTAAACTTTGAGATTCTCCAATACTTACGTATTTTTTTGAAAAAAAAATAATATTTAAAAAATAATATAAAAATAAATATAAAATAAAAAAAAATAAAGATTATAAACTTCACGACTTTAGAGGACTCATAAAGTTTTTGTAGCCTATAAATTTTACATACACACAAATAAGGAGTTAAAGTGTTATCGTGATATTTAAAAAACAATATAAAAATAAATATATAAAAAAAATAAAGATTATGAACTTCACGACTTTAGAGGACTCATAGAGTTTTTGTAGCCTATAAATTTTATACACACACAAATAAGGAGTTAAAGTGTTATCGTATCTTACTAACTATAAAGATGAATAAATATCTTTTTCATTCTATTAATAAAAAAAAATATTTTTTATGTATCATTAATAAAAAAATATTTTTTGATATATATCATTAAAAATATTTTATATATTATTATTTTAAATTTTTTTATACACCTGAAAATAGAGATAACTATCGTTTTACCTTATTAATATTTTATGTTAATGATTTTTTTAAAAAAAAAAACGGGACAATAATTTTTCTCCTGAATACTTGACGTGATTTCAGGTCAATTCATTTAAATAGTGAACCTGGACGACAAAGCTGTCAGGTTCATTAAATTTTGATGCGCCATCCACAGCGTTGGACACATTTGTGAGATTTGTCTCCATTTTTTTATATTATTTAAAAAATAATCATTGATAATTACTCTACATGATAAAGTTAGATACGACGAAGAAGAGTCAAAAATCTTATTTGTGAATTTAGGTGGGAATCATGAAATCCATTGTAATTTTTTGTTTTTTTTATGTATTTATTTTTAAAAATTATATTAATAGAGTAATTATTGGCCATGATTAAAAAAAAATTCTCTCAACTATTATTGGTCAATTTTTATTAATTTCATGCATATTTTAAAAAAAAGACATGTTAAATATTTATTTATTCCAATTTAAGAAGAGAGAAAAAGTTAAGAAAATAAAATTTTAAAAACTATAATTGTTTTGCCAATTATTTGTCTATCTATCATGCAATATAGTTAGATTTTCATTCATATTCAAAAAAGTTTTAGATTCTATAAAAAGATGTCAAAATAAACATAGATTTTATTCTTGAGATATTTCTTTATTGATTTTTAACTTATTTTTATTTTCACAAATTCATTAGTTGATATTGTAATGATTATTAATTTTGATCATGTAAATTGAAAGATGATTTAGCAATACCCAATGAAGGATAAATATAAAAAAAAATAACATCTTTCTAATCATTTCAATATCATTTTAATTTTTTTAAATAAGGCAAAAAAATGTCACAAAATCAAATTAAAAAATTAAAATACATTTTTTTTTAAATTTGATCTCACCAATGAAACCAATACATGTCCCTTTCTTTAAAAAATAATTAAAATTGACTTGACAATGGATAGAGGAACTTCTATCCTCCAAGAAACCAAACCTAACAAGAATGATGTTGTGAAAAATCCATATCATAAAGTCTTTTATATCATAATCTTGATTAATTATTGAGGAGAGATTCAAATCAAAGACTTTTCCCCCCTGCAATCTTTGTTTTTTGATATGAATGAGAGCATTGTTGATTTCAAATTAAACATCCTTGAGTAATTAGGGTTATTAAAATAATAAAATATTGTTTAATAAATCATTCATCAATCCATTAATTCTCTCCCCTCTTCATGGTAGGATCAGCCTCCCCTTTTCCTTGGTGAATAATGCTATAAAAACAAACAATTTATCCAGAGTTTTATACAATTCATCAATCCATTAATTTTCTTTGAATTTGGCTTTTTACTTTTGATTTCTTCCCTTTATTGTAACTATTTTTTTAATGAGGGGTTAGCTGTATTAAATATTTAGTCTAGGGTTATCTAAGAAACTTAACATGGACTAATTGAGGAGGGGAATTCACTGCTCCCTCACTTTTTTTTTAAGATATAGTTTTTTTTTTAATTTTTATTTTTTATCACTTAATATTATATTTATTTATCCCGTCTCATGATTTAATATGTGGATTTAAAGAGTCAATTTATGTTTTTTATATTTTTAAGTTATTTTTTTAATTCAATCCTTCAATATTTGATTGATTTGGAATTAGACTTTATAATTTTTTTTTGTTTTGCTTTTTATAAGATTATCCCGAACTCATTATCTTGATCACAGGTTTGGCAAATTAACCCGGGTTGATTCAAGTTATTTTTTTCTTTTTTAATTTTATTTTTCAATACTGGATTGATTAGAAATTAAACTTCACAACTTATTTTAATTTTTTTTCTATAGAGTTATCCCGATAATATAACTTAGATTATGACTTTGATAGATTAACTGTGTTAACTCGAGTTGTTGTTTTTTTTACCCTTTTTTTTTTTCAATTTTATGCTTCAATATTAGTTTGATTAATGATTAAGTTTTATAATTTGTCTTGATTTTTTTTCATGAGATTGTCTATATTTCATAATTCAGGTTGTGAATTTACAAGTTGATTTGGGCTGATCCAATATATTTTTTAAAAAAATATTATCTTAAATATTTTTAGTCAAACTACATTTTTAATAATTGTCTGAGTTGTTTTTTAACTCGTCAGGTTGATCAGGTCACATCATATCAACTCCTACATATTTTTCTCCTACTAGAAAATACATTAATAATATTTAAATATTTTTTATATTAAAAATAAATAATCTAAGCCGAGCACAATCATCCTTATTTATTTTAAATAAACAATTTAAAAATAGCTAAATAGTTTAATCCTATTTCAAGAGCCCGTTTGGCTCTGCGGCTACGGCGGCGTTTTATTTGTTAAAGAAAATGAAGGCATACTGTTTATTGAGTCCCATCTTTTTTTGTGTTGGAAATGCAGTATTTGAAAAGCAAGAATTCCTTGTTTTTTTGTACTGTTCACGTTAAGTGCAACATGAACAGTGTATAGTGATGCCTGTTCATGAACAATGTAAGAGAATTGCACTAATGTAATTTTCTTGTACTGTTCACTTGCACTACATGAATATTTTTTTTTTAGTGTTAATTTTTTTAATATTTTTTATTAATATATAATAACAATAGTTAAATCCATAATATTTAAATTAAAAATCATCAATATTAATATATATATATATTTAAATTATTTTATAACATCAATTTCAAAAATATTCTTAACCAAACACATCAAACTATTTTTTTTTCAATTTCAATTTTAATCATAATTTTAACCAAATATCTATTTTTTCAAATCAACCTTAACTAAAAATAATTTTTATAAAATAAATTTTTTTTAAATCATTACTATAAAAACTACTACAATACCAAATACACTCTAAATAAAACAAAAGCATAACCCAAACTGCCAATATTCTTCCGAGAATCTAAATACAACTAAGAAATTGCAGACTGTCATTCCAGTCTGCTCCAAGGGCTGCAGGCAGTGGAATCGCAACAAACAACATGAGCACAGCACAACGTGTCTCCATAGTTATTTAGGCTGGGATTATAGTTAATTTTTTATTTAAGAATATTTTTTTATTTTTTTAAAAATATTTTTAATATCAATACATTAAAATAATTTAAAAATACTAAAAAATATTAATTTAAATAAAAATAAAATAAAATAAAATCTTAATTTTTCAAAAACACTTTTAAAACACAAACAAAAATACACAACCAAAATTGTAACCTAAAAAGAACATGAGTTGCTTGGCTAGGTCATCTTCATCCAATTTTTTTTTTTAAAAAAAAAAAAACTGCCTCAGGGCTAGTCATAAGTCACACAGATTTGGATTTGGACATGAAGAGGAGCAAGAAGGCTTGGAAGGAATAAAGAAATATAATAAGATAATATGAACAGGGTAACCACAAGGGCAAAATAATTACAGCATTATAATAAAACTCCTCTTGCTCATGGCTAAATGCAAAAACCAAACGGATAACCTCGCCCAAATCATATGATAGAGAAAATTCAAAACAACTGCTTGAGATCACAAGCCACATCTCACGCCACTAACACAAGTATTGGGATTAAAATTTAGCCCACTGGCCTAGGCAAGCATTTCGCTGAAGCAAAAGGAGAGAACACCATTCTCTTTTTAAGCTTGGTTGCCGTTGCCACTAGCACCTCCACCGCCACCACCACCGCCACCGCCACCGCCCCCGCCCCTTGAGCGATTGGCCATCCTTCCACGACCTTGGCCATAGCCTCTGCCCCCTCCACCTCTGCCTCTTTCGTATCCAGTTCCTATAACAATCATGTCATCAGTACAAAACGCATATGAAGCACGTCTAAAGTTATACTGCAGGAATTAATTCCACCATCGAAGTGGAAGATTCACATTTAGCATTAGCACGTGCCAATCAAATGCCTATAACATCATGCTAGTATAAACATATTTGATGCCAGCTTGAGGCAGACAAAAAAACAAGCAATTTTTTTTAAAATAAAATTGTAGAAAGGACTATTGATGTAATTTCGAGATTTGCTAGAAAATCTGGAAAATTGTCTGGATCTAGGCTTTATTTCTGTTTAGTCTTTCGATATTTGCATTACCGTTTATGAATAAAACTCTAGTAACTTTCCTTTTGATATTGCAACTTGATCTTCCCACGGGACTCCTAAAAACCCCAGGAATGAAGCTCAGGTTTCTCTACCTCTAGGTGTCCTATAAATCATATTAGTGCCTCTAATAGTTTCTACAATTTGTAGCAACTTAAATCCTATTTTCCAACCATCAGACAACCTCCATTGAATTCCTAAACATCCACATGTTCAAGCCCCATCAATCTATAGATATTGACCACCAAGATCTACTCAAACCCTAAAATTACCATTCACACCACAATTCATAGCCCTAAACAGTCCCTGCAACTCAGTTGCAGAACAGCTTCCTAAGCTGTGCTGCATCAGAACTCACAGAATTCACAGCCAGTGTCAACATGAACGATTAGCATGGGTATTCTGTAAAAGAAGTAACTTACCACGATAACCCCAGTTCCTGCCCCGACCCCCACCACCACGGCCCTGATTTGAGTAACCACCATTATCTATTGGAGAAAGTGTGAATTCAAGGTTATGATCTGCACTCAAGGACAAGTAAGAGAAAATAAAAGCCATCACCATCAGTAACTCGATGTTCATAACTAATACCTTGATAGTTTCCCTGATAGTTCCCGTGATAATTTCCCCGATAGCTTCCTTGGTAGTTACCCTGATAGTTTCCATATCCATATCCACCCCGGCCCCAGTTCCGACCTCTCCCTCTACCACGTCCTCGGCCATACAAATCACCTCGGCCATATGAATCTAAGTTTATAAATCATGTTAGTCTAAACCAGACACTTCAACATCGACAATAGTCCATTTGTTTTCAATTTACCTTCAGGAACAGCATTGTAGGAACCACGTGCTTGTCTAGGTTGCTGCTGCTGCTGCTGATCTTGCTGCTTTGGCTGTTTTATGGAGTGTGGAGCTTGGTACCTGGTAACAAAAGATATCCATTCATACAAAGGGCTACAACAGTCCAGTAGAAAAATCAATATATGTGCACAGTATGCATCAGTTCATACATGCTGCTACTGAGACATCCTAAAGGCAGGTCATGGACCCTTAACTGACTAAAAACATTTCTTTGACTGGTCTCCCTGAAAATAGCATATTGAGGCAGAACTTTGAAATCCCCATGCCATGAAAATTAGAAATGGAGAAAAATATTTTGCATGGTTTTTTCTGGTCCATTGTAGTAGCTTCCCTAATCTCACTATAGCTAAAAACATGATGGAATAATGAACTTACCCAGGAGACATTTTGTTTAGCTCTCTAAAAGATAAGGTGATAGTAATCATTGAGACCTGGCGCGTCTGTTCCACACTGTCACAAGTTTTTGCCAACACTGAAGCATCAAGTACACTCAAGCCAGGAACTGGATAGTATAAAACTGATTCAAAAAACTTACGGTACAAGGCCCTCTTCTAATGGTTCCCAAACATCAGTTATGCTCACTGAGCTGATGGCAGTATCTTGGTGCAAACGAGGATTTCTCCGCTGAGTTAGTGTTAGCAAGGTTAATTAGTTCTGCATGTTTCTTTACATGGAGAGGGGAGCAGGGAAAAGTATTGGTGACTCAAAAAATATCAGTTTGAAAGGCATACCCACCTTTATACCTTCTGCAACTGATACTGTCTTGCTGATTGCCTGTCCCATGGCTTTCAAGACAATCTCCTTAACATGTTTCTCCTGGTAAAATATCACAAACAACAATCATACAGAAGTCAACAACATACCCTAACGATGCAATGAAAATAATTGGACCAAATTGTTATATTTATGGACGCATGGTACCTGAACGAAGAAAATAAAGACAAGTGCAGTGCAAGAACAAATCCCAGAAAAGGCCAATAAATTATACCAAAAACAAAAGAAAAGGACAAAGCCAAATCATTATAACGAAAGTTATCAAATCATTTTCAACTCATGACTATTGCACTTTTCTATTTAAGGAACCAATTTGTTTAGCATTTTTCACTTGCAAATGATCAAGACAATGCCTATAATCGCTAGGTAACATCAGCATCAATTAGCCAAAAGTACCAATTTAGTACTAAAAGCATCAATATTTGAGCAAAATGAAGCCACTCCGAGTTCTTAGAACTCTATCAAACATGCTATCGCGTATGATAGCAACTTATCATCAGGTCAGAAGATAACAAAATCCACAGCAGAAAATGCTCGGTGCTGCAAAAAAAACACCCAACCATGCCCATTAAAGAGAAAACCAGAATGCACAAAAATCAAAAACCTTTTCAATGCTTGCTCAACTTGGGTTTCAACAAAATGATAATCATAAGAACCAACCTAAGAAAACACAAAAAGATTAGAGAGAAAACAGAAGGAAACAACCAATAAAAATACTAAAAACCCTACACAGATACAACATGCCCCAAAACCTAGAAACCCCATTAAAACAAATCAAGTAACAGCAGCGAAATCATTATTATAAAGAATAATCACAGCAGTCCATGTATAATTTTTTTAGAAAAAATTAAAAAACAAAAAGAGGGAGGAGGAGGAGGAGGAGGAGATGGTACCTGGAGAAGAGAAGTGCCATAGCTGATATAGTTACGGAGGGGGCCACCGGAAGTGATACGGATCTCATTCTCGTTTATGGGAGACTCGGGCTTTGGCTTTTCGACTCGGGTGTATCTATCCATGGCTTGTCTTGTTCAGATTATACTAGTGCTCTAGTGGTAGTGGTGGCAGTAGTAGAGAGAGAAACCCTTTAAAACCCTAGGCAATAAGCAGAAAATGTTGCGTTTCTTACTGCTCTAATTCAATTCTAAACCCAAAATAATATAATATAATATAATATAATATAGGGGAAACCTAAGCCCCTGATTTACATAGATAATTTAGGCCCCCCGTGTATTTTTTATCTGAATTAAGTCAGTGAAATATCGATAGATTTTCAATCGAATCCTTATGTTAGTTTATATTAATATAATGGTTAAATAAAACATGTAATTTATATCTATACCATCACGAAATAAAACATATTATATAAATAAATGTAAGAATATTGTTTTTTATATATAATTTGGCTAGTTTTGCATAATTTGAAGTGAAGATCTTATAGAATTCATTTATTTTTCATAAAAAATAAAAATCATATGAGCTTCTCGAGTGATTACAAACAATTTTGTTGACGAAAGACGATAGAAGAATCTAATTGAGTATTCATTGCTACATATGGTCCTAATTGAGATGAAAACTAGATTTGGGGTCTAATTAAAATTAACTCTAAATATTATAGACTTTTATGAGATTTTCCCTATAAAGTAAGTAGCTCAACTTGGTTTTATATTTAATATATAGTATCCATGTATCTATTTGCTTTTAATTCATCTCTGAATAATAGAGTCGTCATTTAATCTATTATTTTATTAAATATTCTTATTTAAATTGATAAAAATACTTTTACGTGAGAAATCCGATCCTAATTTATTATAAAATAACTATAAAAAATATTTGAATTTCAACACCATAAGGAGATTTATTTTCTGTTTTAATTTTTCTTTATAAATTAAATGGATTTTAGTATCTGGAGTCATTTGCATAAAAGATTTAATGAGGAGATAAATTAGAGAATAATTTAAGATATAAGGTTAGATTTATGAAAACAATCTAAGTATAAAATATAATAATTAGTCGAGATAATTCCTCTATTAAATTAAATTAAAATTAAAAGGAGAGTGGCTGTAGAAGGGGTATGGTAAAACCCTCAAGGCCGGTTCTATTTACTACGTTACCATCGGATCTTGCAGTCGCGGGAGATTGGGATGCGTAGATCTTCCATTTGCGTAGCCCTGAAGGAGATGACGGGATGCTTTCTCTTTCTTCCTTCCTTTATTTTTTTTTATTATTATTACACAGTATGCTTTAACAAAGAAAGAAATACTGTAGTTATGACTAGTTTATTATACCATAAGCAGCTAAATAGATTAATGTACCTTAAAAGACATTTTATTATGAGTTATAATAATAGTTTAATTTTTTATTTTTTATCTTTTTCATGTGAGACTTTTCTTTGGTTTTTTTTTAACGAGCAGGAGGCGCTTACGTTATTATAAAGATATATATGATACTTTTTAGCAGCCAAATCTAGCTTTCTATAATATCATTGGAAGAACAGTCTTGTTCTCATTTATATGGTGTGGTGCATGTAGATAAATAATTATTGAATTGTCATCAGTTATAAATCATTTATGTTTTTTTTTCTCTTTTAAAAACTAAAATACATAATTATTCTATTTATTTGTTGTTTGTCACATCAAATATATATGTCATGCCTAATTACCTCACTATGGCATGGATGCAAGATGCAAGGTGCTCTTGGATCTAACATGGTTGCTAGACCCAAGCACATTAGATTTTATATAATTATAAAATCTAAGCACGTTGAGTCAAGTGTGATTATCAAACCTAAGGCTAAATCAACACACCTTGATTTGATATAATTTGCTAGACTCAATGTATTCTGGTCCATGCCAGACTTGCGTGTCTGAATCTGAAAAATATGCTAGACTTGTGCGTCTAATTCTGACAATTATGCCAGACCCGTACCTAGATCTTTTAGACTACTATCTAGGTCTTCCAGATTGTTGCTGCCTGGGTTTAGCGGTCATGCCAGACTCACGCGAATTGGGTCTAGCGGTATAATTTTTTTTATACATAATTTTTTAAAAACTTATTCTTAAAATATCCTAAACATAAATCCAAGTTCAAAAAATATTTATAAATAACAAATTACCACAAAAATCTAATTTAACATTTTAGATCTAAAAATTCAAATCATCTTTTCCATTGAAATAATTTATTTTTTACGTTTATGAATTTGTTATTTCTTTAATAGAAATTTTATCTTTTCACCTTTTGTTTTCCTCTCTTCCTTTTTTCTATTTTTTAACTATATTTTTTTAATCCAATGCGTGGGTTTGACATGATCAACAAGTCTAGACCCAGTATCTATGTCAAACTCAAACGACTTGGGTCTGGTGGCCTTTCCAAACCCACTTGACTTGGATTTATCGGCCATGTTAGACCTATGTGGCTTGGATCTTTTATTCATTTAAGACCCAAGCGACTTGGGTCTGGGATTACTTTTATTATTTTTTAAATTAAAAAGTTGCATTGGACCAACGCTTATTTGGGGTTGGCAAACAAGTAAAACCCAAATTACTTAGATGTTAGACCTAAGGCTCAAGAATTGTTTTATAATGCTAAAACTTATAATTTTTTAATAAAAAAAATCTAAACTATACTTAAAGTATCATAAACAAAAAACTAAAGGTAATAAATTATTTATAAGAAACAAATCTTCACAAAAATCTAATTTAACATTTTAGATCTAAAAATTCAAATCATATCTTACCATTAAAATAATTTATTTTTTATACCTATGAATTTGTTATTCCTTTATAGAAATTATATCTTTTTTTTTTAATTATATTTTCTAACTCAATGTCTAAGTCTGGCATGATTCAAGCGTCTGGATTCAACAACCATGCCAGATTCATGCAACTTGGATCTGAACACGTGATAATTAAAATTTAGAGACTTGTAATTTTTTATATGTATAAAAATATTTAAACTATCATTAAAGTATCACAAACAGAAATCCAAATTCAAAAATTATTTATAAAAAACAAATCATCACAAAAATCTAATTTAATATTTTAGATCTAAAAATTCAAATTATATCTTTTCATTAAAATAGTTTATTTGTTATGTTTATGAATTTATTATTCTCTCAATAGAAATTCTATCTTTTTTTTCTTTTTTTTTAACTAATTTTTTTCTAACTTAATGCCTACGTCTAGCATGACTTAAGTGCCTAAGCTCGATAACCAAGCTAGACCGAAAGCGACTTAGGATTAACAACTATGCTAGACCCCGCGACTTGGATCTTCTTGCCATATCATTCCCAAGAGACTTATGTCTAACGATCATGCATAGACTCTTGGTTTTAGTATTGGTTTTATTATTTTTAAATTCAAAAAAATATGTTGGATCTTTGTTTACTTGGGTCTGGCAAGGCTGCCAGACCTAAGATATTTAAAACATTCTTTATACTTTAAATTTTTTTACATTAAAAAAAATTATTGACTCGCTATAAAGCATGGGCTAATATCCTAGTTGACTATGTATTTGTGGTGGTTTTGAAATATTGTGGTCATTGGTAGTTATTCTTTATCGTTTAATGTGAGGACATCAACCAAAAACTAAAACTCGTGAACATCTCCTTATATTACTATTCATTTAAATAAAATATAAAATATTTTGCTTTTATAAGCTAAAATCTTTGAACTTGGGGTTTAAGGTAAGATAGTCTTTTCATTAATATCACACACACACACACACACACACATATATATAGCATCATGATGATTATTTTTTCAAATCAAGATTTTGGGTGAAGGGTAAAAATAATAATAAATTCTTGTTTCTTATTAAAAAAAAAAATTAGTATCATTACCTAGTATTTTGATCATTATAAACTATAATTGATGTTAGAGTATAGATAAGAAGATTGATTGTTTATAGCAAAAATGTATCACCTCTAATACACATGACCTAAGAAAGGTGCATTGTTTATTTGTTTATTTTCTAAGGTATTGTTATGCTTTATATATGTTGGTTTGTCGATTGGTCAAAGTCAGTTCACTCCAATAAAGTAAATCATAATTTTACGGGTCAAACCTAGTCATTTTGTAGTAAAAAAAGAAAATCATTTTTAATATCTATAATATATTTTATGTATAAGTTCATAACATCGAATATTTAAAAAAACAAAATAATATTTTTAGTATTTTTAGAATGTAAGTCAAGTTTTCATGGCTTTAATAAATTGATTATTAAATCCAACATGCATGCATAAAAAAATTATTTTTTGTGATTTTTTAGTATGCTAAATTATATAAATATGATTTATTTTTTAGAGACTTGATCATATGTAATTTAAAATATTTAAATGTGTTTTTGAAAAAAATATTTTTTCTTGTTGTTTTGAAATAATAATAATAATATAATTGATTTATTTAATACTAAAAAATAGGTCATCATTAGAAAAATTAAATATACAAGAGGTTAAAAATATATTTGGAACTTAAAAATAATTAAAAAATGGTCATTTGAAAGAATCAGAAATTAAATTGAAAAATTGAGGCTTTGTTTTTCAAAATACGAAAAATCAGTAAAATAAAACTGCCAAAAATGCGTGGAGCCTCAGGAACAAGAAAAGCATTTTTCTTTTGTAAAATTTTGCACAACCAAACATGGTCTTAAGGTTTAGAATGGGCTCAGCCCAAATTATACCGGCCGGGCTTCGTGATACAAGACCAACCTTGGTACGAATGGGCTGAAAACAAATGTGCCAGCCTTCCCTTTTTTTTTCTTTTTTCTTTTTTGTCCCCAAGGAAAGGGGATCTAAAACCCAAACCCATAAACAAAAGACGGGGAAGCTTTTTACATTTCAAGGATCAAAACCAAACATTGCATGAATTTTTCCCACCACCTCGCTTTTTCCAGGACCCCAAAACAACCCAAAGATTCTTTTTTTTAAGAAAAAAAACCATGGGACAGCAAAAGAAAAGAACCAAAAATCCTTGCACGATAGTTAACAAGGGTTACAAAGCAAGGTAGTTATCATCTTATGTCAAAGAAACGCTTAAGCAAGATAAAAAATGCAGCCCAAACATGGCTTATGTAACAAACAAAGAATGCAGAATTACCTTAACTCCTGCAATCAGCATGCATAAAAGACTTAGGCCCCCTACTCTCTCTAAGCTTGGCTGTAGCCGACTCCAGAGAGATCAGAAACAAGAATGGTAGGACCAACGAGGTTGAAGCTTCAAATGGCCACAAAAAGAGAGGCAAGGCTTCTTGACTTCTCACGGTTGATGAGAGCCTGCACTACTGCCATGTTCGGCTAGAAAAGGTCACGATGGCTGGACTAAGAACCAAGATGGAGCTGTGAGATGAAGGACAATTGAGATTCTACAATAGAGGTCACGGTGCAGCTGCTGTGTTTGGCTTGAGATGCTGGTGCTCACGGTGCAACTGCTGAAACTTGCTGTTGGAGGATCTGAGGTGCTTGCTGTTGGAGATGGAACGTTGGAGGCTCATGGTTCTTGTGGGGGAAGAGTTACTGGTGCAGAGTGGCAGGAACGCTGCTGGATCTGGAGTGGCCGCGCTGCTGTCGTGCGGCTTCAAGAAGGGCTGGACCGTCGGTGGGAGGTTGGCAGCTGTGGGTGGTTGTTTTCCTCTGGTCTCTTTGATTTTTGAGGATGCAGTGGTGTTTATGGAGGCTGTACAGTTGGGAGCTTTGATTTGGCTGAAAACAAAGTTGAGTTTTCAGGTTAAATGGTCGTTGTCATGCATGGCTGGAAGGCTTCGGGTTTTTGAGTGGGGTTGTGATGATCTAGGGGTTATTTCTGGGTTAGTGTCGTGCTGACAGGGTTCATCTCCCTCTCCAGCTAGTTGGGGTCAAGGTTTTTGAACTATTTTATTATAGGACAAATGATTAGGATATTTAGATCCTATGTGCTGGGTTATTTTAAACCGTTGATTTTTAGAAATATATCCTGGCCGTTGATTGAATTTAAGAACAAATGCTTTTCTAGTTCTGTAGCCAGTAAGTGAGCAGACCAGGCTGTCTTGACAGATTGAGCAGTGTTGACTAGAGTTTTTGGGAGATAATCTGCAGGGTTTTCAGAGCAACAAGAATTAGCGTTTTTGCTTAGAGTAAAGTATAAGTGATAAGGTACAAGGTGGTGTGAGGTTTGCTTTGTTTAGTGGAGAGACAAAGAAGAATCAAAGGTACGAAGGGTGCTTCTTGGATATTTTTTCTTCTTTTGTTTTAATGGGAAGAAAACAATGAATGGTTTATAGTGTTTTTTAATTTATTCCTAATCTTTGGGATTTTTTTAATATAGCTATTAATCAGCTCTAATCTTTTATAATTTTTTTGTTATTTTATCTTTATTTTTATGTAATTGAACCCTTGAATTTTACTGCTTTTTACAAATAGTTATTAATCTTGAATTTCTTTAATGTAATTCTTAATTGACCATCATACTTAAAATATTTATAATTTAAGTTAATAATTTAATTAATTTCAGTCTTAATATCTATAAATTAAGTTATTGATTTGATTAATTTTAGTCTTCAACTTTTATACTTTGATCATTAGTTTTAAGATTCTTTGATTTGATCTTTAATCAGCATTCAATCTTTAAATTTCTTTCAATCTACCTACTAATTATAAAAATTTAACTTTTCAAAATTTCAATTGTGTCTTCTAATCTTTATGAATTGGTCCAAATTAGGCTTTTAAATTTGATTTTGTTTCAATTAGATTATTGATTGAATCCAAAAAATAAATTAAAAGTTTAATTAAGTCCTTAAACTTAATTAATTCTTCTAATTTTTTTCCCATTAACTCTCAAACTCAATTCTCCTTCATTTAAGTTCTTAAATAAATCAATTAAACCTATTAATTAGGATTTTAAACTTAATTAATTTTTCTAATTCTGGTCAAATTTGAATTTGATTTTTTTCTATCAAGTCTTTCTTCATTTTATCTTGTCAAAATATCTTAATCTAACTATTTTTTTAGCTTTTTGACATAATGCAGCTTAAAAGCTTATTTTCTCATGTCCTGAAAATATTTCTGAATTTTAAATTTTTTATTTTTTCAATAAAAATAAAAAAGAGTATTTTTTATATAATAATTTTGGATTTCAAAATTGGATTATGATAACTAGGATCCATTTGTCATTGTCAATTTAACCAAAGAAAAAAAAGTCTTTTTAATATTTTTATTACATAGCATAATGATTTAACTGACTTTTAAAACATAATTAATTGAATTGTATATATTGTAGAGCTTTTTTACTTTTCTTATTCTTTAAAACAACAAAATGATATATTTACCTATTGGATTTTTTTTTTTTAAGTGATTGTTAAGAGCTTTGATCTTTTTATATTATTTTTTTGTTATTAGCAATTTTTGATAAAGGATGATTTTTTTCTTTTATTGATAAAAATATATTATTTATAGCAAAAGTAGGCTAGCGCGTAAGGCTTCAATTAATGGTGGTCAAGTATGTGTTCATAAACGAGGAACAGTTGGGCTCCAATATATTTTTTTTCCTTTTCTTTGTTTTTTTTCTTGAAAAATTTAAGGATGTCCTACTATTTTTTTATATTCAATTTGATCCTTATTATTATTTTTTTCAATTTCAATCTTTAACATTTAGTTTGATTTGATTTTTATATAAAACTTGGTCCTTATTTTTTTATTACTATTTATTTTTTTTGTTATCATTTTTATAATTGAATTTTTCTTTTAAATTTCATCTATAAACATTTGATTTTAGTTTTTATATCCAATTCGATCCCTATTTTGTTTTTAATTTCATTTTTGATATTTTATTGATTTATAATTTTGCTTGGTTGTTTTTAAGGATTTGCCTTCCATGTGGTTAGTCTAGGACTTATGACTAGTATTATTGATTTTGAAGATTAATATAAGTTCATTTTATTCTTTTTTTGTCATGTTTTAATTTTTTTTTTTTTTTATCTTTTAGCATTTAATTGAGGGTTGGTCAATTATTTTTTTTATTTTTATCTTTTAGCATTTAATTGAGGGTTGGTCTTGAAGTTTTTTTTTACCTTTCTTTTCCACGTGATTATCCCAATTCTATGTTAATAACCATCTAGGTGGTGGTCAAGTGGTAAGAGTTTGGAATCAAGGGGTTTGCTCCCTTTATGGTCTCAGGTTCGAGTCCTTGGTTACT